GAAAGTTCAAATCTGCATGAAGGAAGGAGACAATAGTTAGTACGATTAAAAGTAAGTACCGAAGTAAGAGAAAGAACATGAAAGTGGGCCGAGGTAGTTACACCGGCGACTCTTTTATTCCAATTAATTCGGTCGCCCGGGATCTGGGCTTCGTGGTCTTCGAAGTTCCCAGAAACCCAGAAGAAATCATCATTGTTTACATCCTTATCTGGGGTATTCTTTATTATCTTTTCACGCCGGCGCCTTATTCTTAAATAGTAAACCCAGCCATCTTCAGCCGATCCTATGGAATATTGGTGGAAAAGCTCGGCTAAACCGAGATTAAGGCTAACCCGGCGGTTTAGCTCGGCGATGCCATTTATTATGCGGTATGAATTTGTGGAAAGTTGGGTAGGGCAAAGGTTGGTTTGTCTGAGGAACTTGCAAAGAAGGGGCTGTATAGGGAATCTTAGTTCGGTTTCTACAATGGAAAGAAGTGTAAAAGGAACAAAGCCAGGGTTTCCCCAGGGAGTGATATCTAGTTCGGCTAAGGTAAGATGGACATCATCAGGGATATGGTAGTCCCTTCGGAACTCAGCCATAGCACCTGGTGAGTTTACTAAGAACCTATACTTCCCCATATGGGTTTAAATTATGTATAAATTAGCCTAAGTGTTAGCTCGGTGCTGAAAAAATGTTGGATATCTCTGTCAAACGTTCAAAGGAGTGCCTGGGCAACCTAGTCAGAGTCTGCAAAGTGAAAAAAGAAATGTGTTAAGCACAGATCGTTGGACCGTGCTAAAAGAAACAAAGGCAAGATAAATAAAGTCCTAGCTCGGCTACGTGGGCAACTATCCATTCTTAGCACGGTTTGAGCAAGGGCCGTTAGCCCGGTTGAACTTTTGGGGCAGCATTCTTAGTTCGGTTTTAACTAAGGCAGCTGGTTTAGCTCCAAGTTTTTAGCTCGGTCGGTGGTTAGGACTTTCTACCGCAGTATTGTGCAAACTTGATGCAATTCGCTAGCCCGGCTAAGAGGTAGAGCCTATTAAAACTACGAGTAGAGTATGAAGTTTTAGTTCGGTTGTCTAGTTCGGCCAGGGTCGTACCTAATACAAACAATATCCTAGTTCGGTTGGAGTGTGATTTTGGATCAAAACTACCGTTTCCCAAGTTATTCATATAGACAGTGGTTATGTTACAGGGGTTTTTCCCAGAAAAATGGAAACCAAAATGGTATATGTGTTGTGAAAAGCATACGAGTATTGTGCTATATATTTCAGAAACTAGACAAACAAAAAAGGAATGGGACTGAGGTACTTACAGTTTGAAGGAAGGATACAGATCTGAAACCACGAAAATGGTGTTGAAAATGCAAGCTTCACAGGTGCAAAGGTCGCAGAAATGGAGACTCAAGCAAGAGAGAGAGAGAAGATGAATAGTGTAGGTGAAATGGTTTGAAGCATAAGGGTTTGTTTTATGAAAAAGGAAGCAAAATGGCGGGACTGTTCAAATTTTGCAAAGTACGAAGACGGCGTGACAGCTACGCAAGGCGCATGACAGCTCGCCACGTGTCCTCGGAATGGGAAGCGATTCAGTTTCAGTACGACTGAAGAGACGTTTTACAACCGTACCAATCGGTAGCCCGGTGACATACTAGCTCAAAGGCTAAAGTTTTTTAGCTCGGCTGGAAAAATATAATCCCTATCATGCTGCGCAGATGGAATTAAGGGGCAATTAAGAGGGTAATTTATATGTAAATTGGGCCGAGCTGGGTGATGGGCCGTTCTGTGGGCCACAGTAAAAAGGGCTGAGTAAAAAAGCTTTGTAGTTAGCCCGGTCCAGAAAGAGCTTTGTAGTTAGCCCGGTCCAAGAGAGCCTTGTATTTAGCTTGGTCACCGCTGTTAGAGTGATGGCAGTCAGCTCGGCCATACCCTTCCAAGCTGAAGTATTTTGAGCTTTTCTCAGGACCTTGCTACGGTTTAGCTCGGTCCAATCTCGTTATGGTTAGCACGGTCTTAGCAGGAGAAGCCGATGTACATGCAGTGAAGGGGAGAACCGAGCTAGGTAAAGCTCGGTCATTTCAACCAGTATAGCATGGTTGTGATAGCTCAGTCGTTTTGTCATACCACCGAGGTAAAACCATCTCATTTGGTTTAAGCAGTGAGGGGGGTGTTGAAGGATAAGCATTATCTTTCAGGAGTGTGATTCCTAGGAGGACTCTGCATGGAGGAATAAGGGTCCTACTAGGATTGTGCCATGCGGAACCTATAAAAGCTCATAATATCACTTATGGAGAGGTAACACAACTTTGATTCTCGAATACACAGAGCTTTTTGCCTATTTGTCTATTTTGCTGACTTAGGCATCGAAGAGGTATCCGGCACACACCCGTCGGCTAGCTCAGGTTTGTGTTTTCAGGGAGAAAAGCGACGACGTTTGGAGGAGCGCATACTTGATCAACAGGATTATACGAGAAGATTATTTCTTGTTCGTACACTTAGCTATAAACCAAAATAGTGTTTAATTATTAAAATTTATAATAGTTTGGTTTGATACAATAAACAAAAATGTTTTAGAGTTTTAATTTGTGAGCTCTAACAGGTCTAATGTGTATGTGGGCCCATCTGATATAATGTTTTGGCCTTATTTTTTTTTTTCTTTTTTGATTTTCCACCTCACTAGTTCTCAATTAGAACTCTCATGGAGCAGTTAAACACATTGTTAGTGCACATTATTTGTGTCAGATGTTAAATGTATTGTTAACTGCAGCTAGCAAGTTAACACACAAAGAAAGAGAGAGAAAAGGAGAAGAGAGAAGCATTGACAGTGCAGTGGGGGTGGGTCCACTGCGTTGGAAAATATATTTATTTATTTTTTTTATTATTTATATATATATATATATATTCTTAACACATATTTGAACACACACTTTAACATATCCATTGCATCATCACTCAGTTTTTAAAATTAATAAACTCTTAATACACATTTTTTAGTCTAACTTTTATCACTTTTTGGTCATATAATACACTTTAACACACTTTTTTTTAAACTAACGCACCGAATGATTAGTCCTTAAGAAAATAGGAGAATTACACATCAGTGGGGAAAACAAAAAATATTTTTAAAAATATAAAAAGATTTATGATTTTAATTATTAATATTTATTAATTTTTTATAAATATTTTTTTTTTGTCTTTCCACTGATATGTAATTCCCTGTATGTTGTGTTTGGTTAGGGAATTTAGGAAAAGATTTAGAAACGAAAAGAGAAAATAGATAAAATGTAAATAAAATATACTTATATTTTACTCAATTTCACATATCCTTTTCTTTTTTCTTTCTAAATTTTTCCTTAAACTTCTCAACCAAACACCGCATAAGAAAGTAAACTTTGGCACCTGAGATTTAACAAGCCAAGTCTTTATGCTTGATCCAATACTCAGTCGAACTCTTGAAAAGGTAGCCCATTGGAGCAACGCAGCCATAAAAGATGCAAAGCGAGAGGGATGTGGATTTGTCATGGTGGATCATTATTGTCATAAATATAGTACAATAATTTGCTATAATCATGCATAGCATTTCGGCAAAGACTTTTGTTTTTTTTTTTAATTATTTTTCGTTGTGTTTGGTTAAGAGATTTGGAAAAAAAAAAAATTTAAAAATGAAAAGAAAAAAATGTATAAAATTATATAAAATGTAAATATATTTTATTCATATTTTACTTATCTTTTCTCTTTCTCTTTTCAAATTCCTTTCCAATTACTTTAGCCACACACCTCACTAATGATACACTGTCGTGAAGAATTTTTTCACTCAATTTCACATGAGGGTTATTAGCTGTTATCATGTACAAATTGAATTTGCTTCTTTACTTGCTTTTTACCTTCTTAATAATCAGTACAAGAGAAAATAGAAAGAAGAAACTCAGTATACTAAAATTTGAAATCAGATGTCTCCTAGTAAGAGGCTAATGCATCCTTTTTGTTTCATTAATAAAATTTCTTCTTTTTTGATTAAAAAAAAAAAGGACTAATGCATCTACCACACCAACATTTTACGGTGTGTTTGAATACTAAATTTGTGAAGAGAGAGAGAGAAACAGAAGTAAAAAAAAATTGCTCTTTTTATTCACTTTTCGCTCTTTTTTCTCTTTACAAATTTATGTACAAATTCAAATTCCAAACAAATCATTAGTCTTCAATTGAATTTGGTTGGTAAAACAAGTTAGACATTTTTTTTGGAAAATCACAACATAGTAGAGTAGAAAAAAATTTACAAAAATATGAGAAATGCAACTCATTTTGTGATAGGGTGTAAGTCAAAACATTGGGGAGTTGCATCCGTCCATATTTATAATATTTTTTATCTCAAACTTCCACTGAACAGTGATATCTCCTATTTTTGTTCCCACTATAAATCTTACTTTTGGAATCAAAACTGGTAAACCAAGTTAGATATTTTTTTTTCTGCTATAAGTTTTACTTTTGGAATCAAAACTTTGTCAAATCCTCATTGGTTCTCTCAATCATGAAAGGGAAGGAAATGGAATTCCATGGACTTGCCTTGGATTTTCTCTTTTGGGTGGGTGAAGGTGTGGTGTCATTTAGCTCAGAAAGAGTTCTTTACTTCTAAAAATTAGAAAATATTTTTGTTACAATAAACTTGATGAAATAACTAAATTAAAACTGAACTGAAAATGTAACACGACTAATTATTCAAATTAAAATAATAAAAACCAAAATGAAATTTAAGTCGATCAACATGGTTGAACGTGTAATTTACCAAACCAAAATTTGTCTTTATTCTGTTATCAAATGAACAACAGATCTTTATTGACTGACTTTTACTAGTGTTTTTGTTTTCCGAAAACAAAGTAAACGAAAGCACAACTAAACAGACTAATGCATCTCAAACTGAGGCAAGTGACCCATCTTACTACTGCATTCAAGGCAAAGAAACAAAATCATGCACAAACAACAATGTTGAAGACAGTTGAGAGCCATTTTGAAACAAAAAGAGAGAACAAAAACTAGTTTTCCAAAGTAATATTACAGTTGAATCAACATATATCAATCCAATAACTAGTTTTCCAAAGTAATATTACAGTCAAATTAACATATATCAATCCAATACAATTTAACCTAGTCAAGAACCCTATATTTGCCACCAAAGGCATTCCAGGAAAACCAAAATTTGTAAATACAACCCTGGAGTTTCTGTAAGTTAAACTGAACAATAAAAGATAACCTGGACTTTACGGTCCATGGCTCTGAGAGTTACGGGTCTATTTTGTCGATCAAGCCCCAAAACCCAGAAAGCTTAGCGTGACACGATGATAGAAAAACATATATACAGGTCAAAACAAAAAGCGTCATCACAGAAAAAGATACTCAACAAATTCACGTGCTATTGACCGCCATTTCAGTTATGTTTCCCAGATGCAACTGGTCCACCAACAGAACAGTCCAAGAGAGGGAAATGCAATGTTAGGCAGACAAGCAAGCCAATTATTCAACCATTCAACAAATCACGAAAGCTGGAAAACCCCACCCAAGTATTTCGCGGTTAAATCCCAACCACATCAGCTTGACCCCACAGAAACCTCCATGGTATAGTCCTCTCTTCCTTTTCAAGGAGATTAGCCATGGAATTCTCACGGTATAACAAATAAAAGAATGATATTAATTACAGCGACTATAGAATCCAATGAAAAACCTTTGGGTTGACGTTACAGTACCCAAGGAACAACGCCCCCACCAGCATATGATCCTGTCATGGCAAAACCACAGCACACCAAGGAACTACACTCGTTTTGATGCAACATCAAGCGCACATGCATGTGTACTGGGGTCGTAAATGTCAAGAATCAGCTTTGAGATGGTAGCAGAAGAATAATGCATTTCGCCTGTTTGGGCAAAACCGAAGATAGGTTTCAACAGAATCACTGAAGAATGTGCAGAGCAAAGCTCTTATGGTCTTAAACACGTATGGGTAATCCATAATTCTGGAACGATCTGATCCGCCCATCCAAACTGCCTGTTACAATCACCAAACCCCAAGCATGAGGAGAACCAAACATGCTCTGACATGACACTTTCAGAAACTTGTACTGAGATTTGCACACAGCAGAAGAGACAACAAGTGAGCTTGAAGAAGGAAGTTCCTCCTCCGGCCACGTCGCCGATCCCTTGGGCAGAGGGTCTGAAAAGAGCCCGTGGCTCAGGGAGAAATCAGGCGAGGTGAACGGGAATTTGGTGCGAGACCTCTCATTGTGGCGCTGCAGCTGTGATCCGTTTTCCGAGCCACATCTTGGTAGGTTCACAGAAAGTGTTAGGGATGAAGATGTTGCTAAGACATCAGATAAGATAGAGTTCCCATGTGTCGCTCCACACCAAGGAATAGCAACCGATACATTGTTTGAGAAGAATCGCTCACACGACCAATTGCTCTTTACTTGGGAGGACAAACGCCCGTCCTGGCAATTGTAATTCCACATGTAGATATTAGAATCCTCACTTGCCGAGAGAATATGCACCCCATCTGAAGTGAACGACGCTGATATGTGACTACCTCCATTATGAAGGCCTGAAAACAGACAAAATATGCACACACAAAAGAAGTTGAACAACTATAATTCTAACATAGAATATAAAACAATATTTTTCAAATGTAGATTAAAGTAGTATTCTAAGTTTGAGATAATTACATCAAAATCCTCTCAACTATAAAAACCGTACAAATGCACCCTTCTGAAGGAGATCAAAGTGATGCATTTTTATAGTTGGGGATTCAAACTGTGTGGTTATGAACTGATATTTTTAATTTATTGTCATGAACTATCAACAAATCTGCTGGTTTTGCCATTCAGTTTAAATTCCACCCATTGCAAGATCTGTAGTCCTCAAGCCCCTAAGCAATCTAATGTGGAAATTTGGTGCTACTAATAGGTAACTTTAAAAAGCAATAACTGAAAAACCAGCACCCACCTCGGTATTTGCTGATCACATCAATCCCATGAAGGATCCGGACTTGTGAATCAGCAGAAGTGACCATTAATATTTTTGGATCACTTGGAGAAAACTGCAAATTTTAAAAAAATAAATTCGTGAATTTTAAGCATAAAAATGAAGAACATAACAATGAAAGTAGAACAGAAGGCATAGGTTGCTACTTGAAAACCAGTTATCTTCTTGAAGGGTGATTTCTTCTTGCCCTGTATGCATACTTGAGCATACAGCTGAAGATGATTATCTGATCCATGAAAGGAAACCAATTAGGGTTTACAAAGACAGTCCTCTTGTATTACATGAAAAATCAACCAACTTTAATATGTAGGTCCAATTGAATACCTTACAACAGTTATAATTGTAAACCACATTAGCTAAATGGTATCAATGAAAATCAACTAGATTTTAAACTAAAAACTTCCATATTTATATTTTGACCATCAGCACTAGTCTAGTTTGACTCGAAAGTCAAGAACATCGAAGGCTCTTGCAACACAAAAATGCATAAGGTTGAATCTTCATCATCTTACTTCAAATAGCATCATTAGGATTGTAGAAAGTGTAAACCAGGGGGTCGGGGGTTCGCCAGAGAGCGAAAAAACACGTCAATGGCACTGGAGACAAAGGGGTTTTTTTGGCTGAGAGACGTAGCAGCCCCCAGAGAGAGAGAGAGAGTGGAGCCTTATGGTCTCTGAGACAATACAGAGCCTCCAAAGAGAGTTAGTAGATCCCTCTAATTATAGAGGGCTGGTCACTTGAATATGCCAGAAAATTCCTGAATTTATGCCAGAGAATATGCCAAAGCATACTATTCTATTAGAATTCACCTCGATCCTTGATATTCCGTACATGATCCTGGTGGCATAGTCACTCACTCAGTGGACTAGGCAAAGGCAGCTCACAACATTGCAACGAAACCTTCATCTCTAGCCACGCCACAAGTCTCTGAAGTCTCGTGGTGATTACCGTGACTTCAGTGTAGCACCTTGGCTCTTGGCCTACGTACATGAGTGGCATGGTGCAACACCCGCAGTAACGCGTAGCGTGGTTTAACCACCACAGTAATGAGGCATGCAATTTGATCGTTGCAGCATGGTAAGGAGATGTGCGGTTTAACCGCCACTGTAAAGGGCCATGCGATAAAAAGAAAGCAGTCATATGATGGTCTAAACACTCTACTCTTATGGAATGTCAAGTAAGCAAGCTTCATAGTGATGGATGGAGTTTAGGACTTGGGTACCCACAGTGCCAGCGTGACCAAACTGCAGACCATACACGTGTCACTTGAAGGTTAACACATACGTAGTCTATATACCAACGTGTAAGACACGTGTCACTCCATATGTGTATGACATGTGCCAGGTAAACAAGTATTTACATGGATCATGGATCTTTTTTTTTTTTTTTGGGGTAAATCACACTTTACCCCCCCTAAAGTTTCACCCATCTCTTACTTTGACCCTTTAATTTTTCTCACTTTGACCCTTCATATTTGCAATCCTTCACATTTTGGCCCTTTAAATTTAATTTTTTCCACTTTGGCCCTTCATGTTTGCAATCCATTCACTTTGGCCTTTTATATTTGCAATCATTTCCACTTTATTGCTAGACTAACTTCCATCCAAAAAACTAACAGAATCTGCCACATCACTAACACATCAGCTCCATCACTAAAGATGCAAAAAATAAATAATAAAAAACAAAAAAAAAATAGAATTTTTTTTAGTCTTTAGTGAACTTTTTTTTTAAAAAATTTATTCATAAACATTATTACATTATAGATACATCTAGATTAGATGCAGCTAAAAAATAAAAACAAATTTAACTAAAAAAAGAAAATAGTTTACTAAAGAAGAAAAAAATGAAAATATATTAATTCAAACACCTGTATTGTCAATTCTGGAATAAAAAAATTACTATGGTTTTTTTTGTTTTTAGTGAACTTTTTCTTTTTTTAGTTAAATTTGTTTTTCTTTTTTTAGATGCATCTAATCTAGATGCATCTATAATGTAATAATGTTTATGAATAAACTTGAAAAAAAAAAAAGTTTATTAAAGACTAAAAAAAATTCAATTTTTTTGTTTTTTATTTTTTATTTTTTACATCTTTAGTGAATTTTTTACATCACATATGGAGCTTATGTGCTAGTGATGTGACAAATTTTGTTACTTTTTTAGATGGAAGTTAGTCTAGGAGTAAAGTGGGAAGGATGACAAACATGAACGGCCAAAGTGAGCAAGATTACAAACATGAACGACCAAAGTGGGAAAAATAAACTTAAAGGGCCAGAGTGAGAAGGATTGCAAACATTAAGGACCAAAGTGAGAAGAATTGTAAACATAAAGGACCAAAGTGGAAAAAATCAAACTTAAAGGGTGTCAAAGTAGGAAACGGGTAAAACTTTAGGGGGGCAAAGTGTAATTTACCCTTTTTTTTCTTCTTCAGTATAAAATTTTCAATCTCAATACCTTCATCAAACTATATGAACAGCAAAAGCAATGATATAACAGTGCTAAACTATGATCATCTCGGGAAATTCCAAATAGTTCGCCACTAAATGTTTGGTTCTTCTATATTCCTAACAAACAGCCAGCCAAACTTGCACACAGATTAAACAGACTTGAAAATACAATATTGATGATGCCTAATTGCAGAATGATCTCTATGTTAACTACAACAGAAATTGCATAAAAATAATAAATGAACGAAACTATAGCTAAATTAGAAATCAATGTTAGCACCTCAATTATGACAATGAGCGAAAAATGTCAAATTCTACTAAAAGAAGCTCATAGCACAACCTAAAATGTACTTTTGTGAAGGAATTGAGCAGGTACCTGATGCATCATAAAAGCGACAATTACCGGTCATGGAGCCAACAATTCCACCCTGCAAGAAGAAGATTAGAGTACTAAAATTACTTCCAATTTTTGATCACATGTTACCATTTCAACAAGCTAACAATGCAATTGATTGCCAAACCTTTCCATCAGGGTGATAACACACGGCCGTGACTATCTCTGTTATATCAGTCCAATCAACAACTTGACAACCAGAAATTGCCCAGATTCGTACTTTCCCATCTATGGAGCCACTGATGAAGTAGTTATCATCCACGGGATTAAACTCAACACATGTAACTGTAATACACAATAACAGACAAGACCATAAGAAGGGATACAACTCAAGATGCACCAGGTGTCCAATCAGCATCTATGAAGCACCACCAACTTAAAATGGGTGCTGTGTCCATGTTGGACACACCACGCGCCGTGTCAAATTTTTTTAATTATTACTTTTTGGTAAGACACTGGGGGGAAATTTCACGGACACACGTGTTCGGTGTTTGGACACGTCTTGGGACACATTTGCCAGTTTCCATTTTATAATTTTAGAAAGAATATATGAAAACAAAGAGGGAGGAAAGTGAAAATAAAAATAAAAATAAACTCATATAAATTGATGTCTCTTATATCTCTGTAACCTAAATTTATATTCATATCATACTAAATAAAAATATATACAACTACAAATAAAAAATTTGGCATATTCTTGCTATGTCTATATCCTAATTTTTTCAAAATAACCGTGTCCTACGTCTATGTCCATGTCCATGTCCGTGCTTCTTAAATCCATGTAAATTACAAGGAAAAAATATATGGGAAAGAAGAGCGCACCATAATTGTTGTGTGAAAAAACTTTTAGGCATTGATCAGATCCCACCTGCCACAAGCGAACAGTTTTGTCTACAGATGATGACAGAAGAAACTGCACAAAAACAAATTGCAGTAAGAATCCCACTCTAAAACCATAAAAATAGAAAGATTAAGTTGCTTCTATGAATATACTAACTTTATTTTTTGACCATGAGAGATCCAAAACATCACCACAGTGCCCGTGAAACTCATGGAGTGGTTTCTCCGAGATAGAGAAAACTTTCTGAGGGAAAATAACACAAGCTGCATCTGATGCTTTCCTCAGGCTCTTTAATTTACATTTTCTCTCTTTCTCATCCTGGAGGGGAACTAGTTCGGAAAGATGATTAACTGTGAAGTATGCAAATGAAGGATCAACAACAGGAACATGAAACTCATCTGATCTTTCCGATTCGATCACCTGCCATACTCGCACAATTCCATCTTCACCAGCACTTGCAAGGTACTGACCATCGGGGCTAAACTTCATTGTCAAAATTGAACCTGTGTGAGCCAAGATATCTTGACCCACATAAAGGGCTGACAATTCCTTGGATTGCTTTCTATAGGGGCGAACCTTGACTTTTTCGCCCTTGGCACCGACGATTGGATGGGAATAATCAGATTTCAAACTACCTGCTTCAACTTCCCTATCAACAATGCAAGCTATAGCACCTAATCTCGTCAACCATCCTCTCTTCACTTGTTTCATTACCTCCTCTGAATTGCAAATCTCTTGTACTCGTGTCTGCATTTCTTGCTGAATTAGAGAAGATAAACCCAAATTTCTCTCAAACTCTTCAATGGTGATCAAACGATTTGAGCCCACTTTGCGAAGTCTTCTCAGCAAGCCATCCTGGCCTAGTCCATCCACAATGAACTCACTCCCGTCATCCAAATTTTTTATTCTCCATTCAAAATTCTCCTCCAATACACCATCTAACAACTCTTGAGCCTCATTTGACCAATAAGACATGGAAGATTGGCTCGATGAATACTCATCATCAAAAACTGAATTTCTTAAAACTGCCCCACTGTTTTCCATAACTCTTTCGATCTCCACTTCCCGTTTAGTATCTCGGGTACCTTCCTTCTCATTTTCTGCTGAACTTAAGCCCATCTGTTTGAGGAAATTATTACGGCGTTCATAAATGCTTTCGGGGCATTTAAGCCAAACCTCAAAACCAATTCCAGATGGTACAAAATCAACAACTCCTGGATTAAAATCAAAAATTTCTGGTCCATCAGACCCAGAATCAGACACAGAGGTGATGTCTTCGTGGGTATCGAAGAATCGATCTTCTTCCTCACAAAAACTCCCCATCATTTACTATCAGAGCTCAACCCATGAATCAAAACCTCCAAAATCCAACCTTTCAAAACCCTAGGCAATGAATGAGCTAAAACTCCCTCTGATGGCACAATATTAACAAACAACCAAAAGAGGATTAAAAAAAAGATGCATGATCATCCTACCATCAGAACAAACTACAAACAAAAATACACAGATCTCAATCCTAACAACACAATCTTTTTAAATAAAATAAAAGAAACAATAATTTATGACAAAAAGAAACAAATTTTAATACAAGCCTAATCTACAACATTCAACCCAGATCCCAAAACTACTTCTCCCACAAAGATCACACTTAAGCAACTGGGAAAATACAATAAAATTTTTATTAAAAAAAAATAAGAAAAGAAAAGGCAATATTCATGTGGACAAAAATGAATCACAAGAAAATGAAATTCCCATTACACAGCTGTTTGGGAGCAAATATATTAAATGGGTATTATATAAAACTGTAAAATTAGTAAAGAAAAGAAGAGAAAAAGAAAATTTGTGGGTGGGGGGTTGACTGACTCACCTGTGGGTATTTCATGAAAAGTCCGTCAAACCCAAGAAATCCAATGAATCATCATCAATGGAGATTTTCCAGCTCTGCAAATCTCTCCCTCTCACCAAAGCAGGGGCATAAATAAATGAAAGAAAACAAACAGAAAACTAGTGAGAAAATGGAATGAAGTATGAAATCTCGAGAGTAGTGAACGGATGGCTCGAGGAACGAGACGTGTGTTTTCGTATGTTTACTGTGCTTCTCTCTCTCTCTCTCTCTCCTCAGCTAAACTTGTGTTTCTTTCTTTTTACACTCTTACCCCTTTGGTCTGTGTTTGGGTCTGCCTAATAAAAAGATACCCTTCTTCCGATGGAGGCATACTCTTTTATCTACACAATTTACAAATTATTTTATTTATTTATTTATTTATCTATTAGGTTGAATCAACTTTAAGGTGATAAACGATCTGAATGAGCTAACATTTAACTGTTTAAATTTTAGTTTAAAAATTTAATAAATTCTAAAATTTATTCATTGAACTTTTGAGTTGATTTCAAATGAGTTTTTATTGAATTAAACTCAAGCAATTTGATATTTAAAAATGCTAAAGATCTCAAAAATTTTACTAAAAATTATATCAAATGTCTTACGTAGGTGTGAGACCCATATAAGACTAACCTTGTGTGGATCCTGCACCAATGCGAGATATTTGGTAAAAATTTTAATAAAATTTTTGAAATCTTTAGTATTACTTTTTTATATTTTTATATAGTTTTAAATTTATTAAACCAAGGTGAATGAACAATTTGTTGTTCAAACGGATTGTTTGGGATGTACTAAATAAGTGTACTTTTTGTCTTTTTACAAAAAGATATCCAGAAAAGTAGAGAGGTGATGTGATGAAAAAAAGATAAAAAGATAGATTATTTTCAGGTTGTCAAACTTGGCCTTAGTTTAAAGATTTTAACGAGTTTCAAAATATATTTAAGATTAACTTATTTAAGCATTGTTTGGGAAGGGTTAAAGTAGCTATTTTAGCTACAAAAGATAAAATAGGTTATTTTAGCCACAAAAAATAAAACATCACATCTAATCCATAATCATTACATTTTTCCCTCACAAAAAAAAATCAAAAAAGTCAAAAAGTCCTACCCAAACCAAATTTTTTAAGTCAGTCTAAAATAACTAAAAAAAATTAAAAAATCAACTCACTTCTCAAACAAAAACTTATTAGTTGAACAAATATCGAATTCAAGTTGTTTAGTTTATTTATCATCCCAACGAAACTAGTCTCCAACTCATTTTTTTATGACTCTGGCTGTCTGGGACCTAATTAGTGTTTCAAATTCATTTTGTCATTTATATAAAAATTTAAATTTATCAAATAATATATTCAGTTTATATTTTTATATTTTTTTGAAAAAATTAAATAGGATTTTTTTAAAAAAATTATATTTATTGTATATATAATTTTTAGTTTATTTTAATGTGATCCAATTAGGTAGTTGTCAATATCAGTTTAACTTGATTTTTTATTTTTATTTTTTATAAATAATCTGCTTTTCTATGACATTTTTTATAAGTTGATTTTTTAATTTATTACAAATATATATATATATATATATAAAACATGAAAAATAATAATAATATAACCTAAATAAAACAATAAATTGATTTTTTTTTTCCAATCGTCTCAATCGTCTCCCAGGGGCTTTTTGATTTTTATGATTTTTGTAAGAAAAAAATAAAATGATTACGGTTTAAATGTGATACTTTGTCTTATTAATTTTTAATTTATTTTATTATTTTGTGACTAAAATAACATTTTAGTCCCAAAATTTACTATGCCAAACGAGTGCTTAAGGATTAGGGGTTGTTTGATATTTGCTTATTTATTATATTTTTTTACTTTTTACAAAAAGATGTGAAATAAAGTAGAGAAGTGATATGATTCAAATAAATACATTTATCAAACAAGTGCACTTATTTAGATCATCCTCAAATAACCCCTAATTATACTTTGTGTTTGGCAAGAGTTTTTTTTTTTTTTTTGTTAAAATAGTCAATAAAGATAAAAAGGTTAAAATAATCAATAAGATAAAATGTCACATCTAACACATGAATCAATTATTTTTTCTCTCACAATTATCTATTCAATTACAAAAAACAACAAACAAAAAAAAAATCACAAATAATCCCAAATATAACCTTTTTTTATCTCATAAAATAATCAAAAAAAAAATAAAAAAAAACCAACTAAAATAGCTAAGTTCTCAAATAAGATTTAGGCCTCGTTTGGGAATAGGATATTTTAATAACTTTTTGACTAAAATATGAGATAAAAAAATTAGTATGTTTGGGATGACTTTTTGACTTTTTACGAAAAAATGTGTAAAAAATAAAGAAAAAAGAGAATCTTTAAGTTTTTTGTATAAATTGTTGGCTTTTTAATTTTTTTTAATAATTTTTTAACTTTTAAGCTAAAACAATCACTTGCCAAACAAAACCTTAGTAATTATGTGCTTGCTGTCTCCTTCTCTTATCTTTACCTTCATAATTTTTTTTCAATTTTCTTCACAAATATATTTTTTAGATATATCTAAATTAGATGCATATAAAAGTTTTAAAAAATAATTAAAATATGAAGAAAAAAGTCACAAAAAAATCGCAAAAAATAATTTCTAAAAATTAAACTAAATGGTTTTTTTTTTTTTTTCTTCATGTCCTTTGGGATCTGATAGGAAGAATTACCGTTGTTTCTATCTGACTCTTTTACCTTTTTGTGAGTACTTTTGATACTCCACTCTTTAAAGAATAGACATTCTGTTTTGGACCAAACAAGTTTGTCTTCAAATGAGAATTATGGTAAAAATTCATTTGTCAACAAGAGTAATCATCACACAACCATACCTACTTTAAAGTTGTGAAAATAAATAAATAAATAAATAAATAAATAACATATAAACAATCGAACTTCTTCATTTCATTATAAAGTTGCTTCCAACAAATCAATTGCCAGTGAGAATATATTGAACGGGTTTGTCTAATGCCAACAACAATATGTTAAAAAACTTTCCTCATCCTTCACTGTGAGTCCATTTGATGCAAGTTTTTTTTTTCAATTAAAAAAAGGAGATGTTAAAATATTCATATCCATCTTAATTTTTCAAACTTATTTAAGTTTTGGGAATTAAATAAAAAGTCAAATAAAAATAAGATTATAAAAAATTAATGATATAAAATTTAATTTATTTAGCACATTTATAACTTTTAAAGTTTTTTTAACAACCTTTTAGAGCAATTAAAGTAATTTTCTTCTTTTTATGAAGAATGAACTTTACAAATAAATTAAAACTTTTAAATTGACGTATAAATCACAACCAAACGAAATCTTGATATCATAAATTATACATAGAACTTACATGAAACACATTAACACAAATTTCAAAATAAAATTTAAAGAAAAAAAAAAAAAAAGGTTATAAATTGAACCAAACAAACGTGTGTACTGTTTTTTGGTTGGTAAAATTTTGAACACAACCTTTTAGGCTTAGTAGGTTAATTGCTTTTCAAATTTCTTGTCAAGTCAAGGCAACTACTAATAATTGATTTTTACTCCAAAAAAATACCCTATTTATAGTGTCAATTCAGAAGACCTTGCTTTTTGTGGTCACCAATAACATTTGTGTCCCCAGAACATAGTATTAAACATGAAGTTGATAAGAACAAAATTAATAGAATAAATTATACCTGTTGTATCTATGATTTATACTTTTTATATTATTTTGGTTTTGTAGTTTTAATTGATTCAATTTTGATATTGAATTTATGAATTTGTTTCAATTAATTATGCATGTTAAGCTCTTTCTTTTTCTTTTTCTTTTTCTTTTTTTAATGAAAAATATGCACTTGAGCAACATGTGTGATATTAATTAATTGGACCAAATTGACACAAACTCTAAAAAAAAGATAAAAATCCAACTAATTAAAAGTTTATGGACTAAAATGACATAAGGGCAAATTACAAGGATTACTGATCTAATTTACCCAAATCAATATAATTAATTAATTATGGAAAATAATATTTCCACTTCACGAAATTCACTAACTTTTTAACTTCCGAAATAGATTCACACAACAAATCTCACATCCCAACAAAAATTGTCAATAAATTTTTCTTGAAGAGGAAATTTTTCTTTTTCAGAAACTTATGTTGCAGTGATGATAACGTTGAAGTTTGTTTTTGGCTCTTAATGTTATATTTTTTTTACCTTGTAATTAGAAATTTCACTGTGTTTTAGAAAGAGAAATTTCATTGGCTTCATTCAGTGAAATAGCTCCATATCAACAGAGACCAAATTTTTTTAATTGCATTGAAATTATACTCCATGGATAGTGTTGAAGAAAATTTATGATTTATACTCCATGGATAGTGTTGAAGAAAATTGGCCAATCAAGAAAATTTTATTTTAGAAACTTATGTTATGGTGATGATAGTGTTGAAGTATGTTTGTAGCCCTTAATTTTCCCTTTAGTTAGAAATTTTATTATGGATAAGTGAAATTTTATCAATTTTTTTTTTTAAAATTTATATTTATATTAATTATGGCTCTTGTTTGATATCTCTCCACTGAAGGATTCTAACAATACTTAACTTGAAAATATATATATAAATATAAATTAGAAAATTAGTTTCAAAAATTTAGCTGGTTGAGCTTTTTTATTTTATTTATTTTTTGCAGTCCTCACACTAGTATAAGTTTATACCTAGAGAGCTCGAATCAAACTCCCTAAACAATATTTCTCACTCTAGATGAAATTCATCAATTTTTTTACTTTCTATATAGATATACACAATAAATCTGACACATCAACCGACAAACAAAGTCAAATCCATCCAATGATGAATAGTAGCCCACGTTAATTACGTCATCAATTTTTTGAAAAAGTTTTGTTAGTAGAATGAAGGGTTGCTTTAATGCTTTGACAGTGGCTTATAACAACTATTAATTGGTCCCCCAATGACAAAGAAAAATAAATAAATAAATAAATAAATAGAAAAGGACATTGCAAAAGAGAGCTTGGTAGCTGTTAGAATTTTGTTTTGCATTTGAAGAAAGATTACAATCCCAAACATGCCTATGATGAAGCTCTACTTTTTGTAATCCCATCTGCAAAATATCTTCAATGAAATGAATTGGTATTGATTGAGTTTATATATTGTGGAGCCGATGTCATGACTTGAGTTCATTGTCTGTAAAACAACAAAGAACATATAAGAAAAAGAAATAATTAATTAAAAAACTTGTGGCTACAATTGTGACCTTGTCAAGTCCGTGCAAATATTAGAGAATACC